TAATATGTCATTCGCAGTATATCATTTAAATTCTTTATAGACAGCTGTGAACATTTTTTTTTTTTTTACTAGCAAATTATTTCAACGAATTTTGCAACATATGTTGTTATATTGTTCATTTTGGTGTTATAATGTATTTCGATTTTATCGAAACAGTTTTATTTGGTGTTCAAAATGGAACCGAAAGAACCATAAAAGTTATCTTTTCTTACAATTTAGCTCTTAAAATATCACCGGATGACTATCAAACGTTCATATATATACCACTAGAAAAAATTTTCATAAAAGAGAGAAAAAGAGGACTTTAAAATGCTTTTATCTCTACATTATCAGAGATGCCAACTTGCTCCGCTTTGTATAATAGTATTTTCTAGTGGTAGCGAAATTTAAGTTACTATTAGTTTAGTATTTTTCCTTTTAAGTAATTTTTTCCACCACTAAATATCAACAATTATAAGTATCATATAAAATGCATCGTTAAAGTATCTAATTATTGGTTACTCTACTAAAAAGTAGGCGTAACTATTACTCTCTAACGAATTTAACCAAATAACTTGCTACTACTTTATTAAAACTATTTCAGAAGGCGGAGCAGTTGGCATCCATGCATTATTTTGATCATAGCAATCACAACCCTTAGTAGCTGCTAATTCGTTAACTCTGTACAGCTATCATCACCAAAGCGTTCGATTCAACAGCAAAAATTACCAATAAATTAAACTTTGAAATAAAAACTGGTAGTGCTGTATAAAATATATTTTAATATTTTGCGTGTGAGAGAGTTAAAAAACACTTCGTTTTTTCAATCGCAATCTTAAAAAAGTTTCAGTTTAGAATTAATGAGGATAATTATTTTTTAAGGGGACATGGTACCTAAAATTTGGCTAAAATCGATCAAAATATCAAAATCAATTTTTTTAGCTAGAATTGTTCTTTGTACTGTTTTGCACCTACTCACAAAATTTTAGACCTCTACGACCAATAATTATTTAGATATCGAATTTTTCACAAGTTGTAATCAAAATAAGTTTTTCTGAGGCGAGCAGAGGCATTTTGTCCTTAGTTATTTTTATTAAATCTACGGCTGAAATATAAAAATGAATTGAAGTAAAGTGGATCATTTGCATCTAGAATTGTTTGTTTATATTTTTCTCAGCATTTTATCTATGGTATCGAATTTTATATTATTGTTAGATTTTAATCAAAATCTAGTTTCGTTTTCGAAAAAAGCTTGCTTTATCAAGATTACTTATTATATTTTTGCTTTATACATTTTTATATCAAAGTAATTGTGTTTTATAATTCTATTTCTGAGAAACTTAATTGTTTCTACCATGCCACGTTTGAAACGAAGTTCAAAGGCTAACAAATCTATCATTCAGAAACGATGGGATCTTGCAGAATGTGAAAGTGAAACTAATGCATTTGTTGACAAAGCTGCTGAATCTTCAAATATTTCTAAGCTTTCAAGAATTTCAGATGTTGGCTACACCAAAACTGTTTGTTCTGAAATTCCTGATTCAACAAAATACATATTTATTAGTGTAGATACCTTGAAAAATCTTTTTAATACTGTTCTTTGGAGCTGTTGCAAAAAATCCACTCTAGATATTGAGTTGGGAGAGAAGTATGGTTTTTCTCACCAATTAAAAGTTATTTGTAAAAGTTGTGCATTATCTGACACTAACATATATACTAGCAAAAGAATTTCGTCTACCAATGGCAAATCGTCACATTTCGATGTAAACGTACGTGCAGTACAAGCTTTTCTTGACATAAGTGGTGGTCATGGAGCTATCAAATTCAGTTTTTTACCACTTTTTTTAAATTTATTTTTTACATGAGTAGCTAACACAATATGAAATATTTGTAATATCATATTTTACTATTATGCTAAATACCTTTTAGAAGTTATTTATGAGTGTATGAAGTTCTTATAAAGAAATATTTTGAATAATTTAATTGTGTTTTGACATTGTTTTGTGGCTAATAAAAACTTTAAACCCATTTTTCTCAAAACCAATTTTTCTAAATTTCCGCCTTCTATAAAAGCCTAAGGCTTTTTTACTATTGCTTGAAATACTTAGATATTTGATACACAAGTTTGTGATACTATGATGATTGAAAAATGGTATGGATTTTTTAATCAGTTTGAAAGTTTTTTTTTAAAAAATTGTCGAACTTGAAATTTTTGAATTTTTATGCTATTACGCTACATTGCCTCAGAAAATAATCTTTTTCAAAATTTCTAAACATCTCTCTATAAAATGAATACCATTTTCTGTTAAGCACCTTTCAATGATGATATTGTAAAAGTTTCATGGAAAAATAAGGAAAATTGAGAGAGGAGTAGTGTTTTAAAAAATAGTTGAAATTTTTGAAATTTTTTTAAAAAAATGAAAAAAAATTTTTTTTTCCAAATTTCTGAATTTAGGATAAGTTCTTCATAATCCTTAAGAATATATTTCAATCAATAAATTGTCACCAAAGTTAATAATAAAAGATTTGAAAGAAAAGGTACCGCGTCCCCTTAAATTGGAAAATATTTTGTGATTCGGCATCGCATTTGAGGAACTTCAGATATAAATAACAGTTTCTACTTAATGTTGGAAACATAAATAAAAACGAGGAACAAAAAAAAAAACTTTTTTTTTAATGGTTGCAGAAGATTTTTTGGGGTAGCTTATTTAAAACCTGCAATCGGTTTCGCTCTCAAACCTTCAGTTTTTATGAATTCAATAATATATTCCTAGCCAGATTTTTTTTTTTTTTTTTTTAAATAAACTCAGGTGAATGCTACGTGCCCCCACTTCTCTGCTGTATAAGGGATTGGATGGAAGAAGGCGATAATATATTTCAATTTATGATGCGATACATTAAGGTAGTATGTTTTTTGTCCCAAGTGTTACTTTCAAGGGAGCAGACAATTTTTTACGTATGTATATAAACCTATGCGCATTGTGCATTGAGATAAAAAAATAAATTAAACTAATTAAATTATTTAGAAAAAATCTGTAGCTTTCGGAACAAAACTAACTTCAGATTTGAAATTCTCTAACCTAAATTAAGTAAGATACATAGATGCCAACTGCTCCAGACACGCCAAATTAATTTTTTAAAATAAGGTAAATATCTACAGAGTAAATTTTCAAACATTTGGCAATTTTTGCTTGCTTTTTAACCTTTTCGTGCCAACTGTCACAAATACGTGCCAGTATAAAACCGTATCAACCAGGGTAAAAAGATAAAACTGGTAACCAAAGTAATTCTTTAGCAGTTTATTTGTGGGCGGAGTTATAATTGTTTGATTTATTTAATTCACCATTACTTTGTTCAAAATAAAACTATTTAGTTATACTTTGTATTAACGTTGATTATATATATGATTAAACTAACAATAATTAAAGTAAAAGCAAAGTAAGTCTGTCAAACTAGAAACGAATACGTGTAAGTTACCTTTTTTTTTTTTAATTATATTCTGATTTCGTACGAATGCTTTTCTGAATCACCCGTCCCCAAGAGGTTAAAAGGTGTAGCAATTTCTACCCCCCCCCTCCGCAAAAATAAATAAAACTTAGATTATGAAGAAAAAATTTATAAGAATAATAAATGAATATCCATAAAGAAAGACATAAAATAAATACTCATTTCGGTATATTTCGTACGTCGAAATGCTTTAAAATGCATTTTAATGTTAGAAAAGTGTTTTTTTTTTTTTTTTTTTTTTTTTTTTTTTTTTTTAAATTTCTTAATTCTCAAATTAGAACAACTGTTTGTTGTATCTCTTTCAAGAAAAATTCAGTCTCTTCCCTTTCCCTAGAGATTTTTCCATTCAACCTAACCTAAGGGCAACCTAAGCCTTTAAACTTAGGACAACTTAAACTCTTAAAAAAACATTAGGGAAAAAACATGGTATTGATGGAGTAAATTTTTTTGTTTGTATAAATTTGTTTGTTTGTCTCTCATCTTCAAATCCTTTCAAGCATGCTTTATTAAGAATTTTCTGCAAGTATTTTTCCACATTGGCCTCCCTCTTTTTTTTCTTTCGTCAGGTACCCTTTTATTTAATTTAATTTGTAACCGTTGTTGAACAGCCAACCCAATTTTTGGGTTTACGTCTACTAATGTTCAACTTCTTAGCCTTGTAATTTTGAACCCAATCCAGTAGACAAGGGAACTCCTGGATCAAGTATTGGGAGAAATTTGCCTTCATGGAGAACTTTTTACGTATAATCTGTAAAAAAATCTGTAAAAGTTGGCAGGTATGCATATAGTTAAGGGCATATAGATGAGGAGATGAATTTTAAAAATTTTTATTAGATTTAACCCTTTAATGGGCCCTTTATTTCTAGTAAAAGTAAATTAAAGTCTTTTTGGAATTGAAATTGTTTTAAGAACAGTAATTGATATAAAAAAAACTCATTTAGTTTATAAAAATGTCATTTTTTTGGTGGTAAATATATATTTAACATGACCTATTAAGAACTTACTGACTTTTATTTTTCTTTATTTATAAAATAAATTCCTTAAATGCTACAAATTTCAAAAGGAATTATGTATTTTATAACTTTTATACGTTTTTTATAAGTGACAAATGGTTACCAATTTTATTCAAACTCACTTCAAGAAAGCGGAAGTTATTGAAAAATGGAAACATAAATTAAAAGTGGTAAAACGTGGTGGTAAGTATACTTACCACGGCCTTCAAAAGGGTTAAAGAACCAACCTACTAATATTTGCTATGTTTTATTTAAGTTTCTATTAGTTTTGCAAACTCTGATGAAGTTTTACCCTCAGTTAAAAGTGAGATTATTAAAAAAAAATTTGAATATAGATTTTAAAAAAATAACTTCTGTTAAGTGCCACCTGTTGTATGGGTAACACCTGCTGTAAGTATAAATTTTCGAAATGTAGCGTAAAAATTAATCTTAAGAAAAAACAATTAAAACTATGATTCTAATTATAATTATAAATTTCAGATTATTTAAAACTTTACTCACCACGGGTAATACAGTTTGTTCAGGTTGAGCTGGTTCATCATCTTCTGAAAAATAATTATTTAATTATTATGAGATTATCTAAAATTGTCTTAAAAATTTTAAAGAATAGGGAAAAAACATTATGCAAAGTATCACAAAGATAATTCTCATTCAAACGCTAAAATTTGATACAAAATGTCAATTCCGTTATTCTATAAATATCTAAAAATATCTTAACATTTAAAAAATTTTAAATGAAATATTATGCAAGTACAGCAAAGATAATTCTCATTCAAATTCTAAAATTTGATACCAAATGTTAAGTCCGTTATTCCACAAGTTACAAACAGAAATATTTCTAAAATAATTATTCTTTCAGCCTAGAAGCAGATACATTATTATTATTCTTAATTCAATCAATTTTCAAAAATCTATGTATTTAATGTTAAAAGAAATTGAACACGTCACGCTTAGGAACCGTAGAAAAAAGCAAGAACTGGCAAGAAAATCATTTCATTATAGCTTGTTTTCAAGAAGATTGAAATATGACTACGATGAATTTTTTAACAGTTACAACGTGCATATCAGACTTTTTTAAAATCCCGAAAAAGAAAATAGTTATGAATAGCTTATAAAAAAATTCTAAAAGCATATTTTTTAAATACCACTATAATTCCATAATTTTAAAAGCTGCACACTTATAAAATTATTACGAAATTGCTGGTATTAAGCTTCCTCTCCTTACTTTGATCGGTTCGAATTTTGCTCGGGTAAAAATGATGCTATTTCTATAATCTTCAAGCATTTTGGCAGTGCAAAATATTCCTACGCATTTGTTGCTAAACGAAAGATAGTTCACATAGAGTTTGTACAGAAGTACATCCAAAATTTTAATAACCACCCGTATTTGATGTTCTTAAAACAATTCTTTATTTTTAAGATGATGTATTTTGTTTAGATAGTTTAGAAGAATCTCTGTAAGAAAAACATAAGGGAGGGCAGTATGAGTAAACTGTGGGTGTATGGGGAAAACAAGGTTCGGATTCAGGAAGCATTTTTACAAATAAATAAGTTTTTAAATAAGTTTTTCCTTTTTTGTTCTTGTGATAGACTTAGTTTGTAGCATTATTTTTATTGCTTTGAGTGTGAAATACAATTATCAGCTATATCATTGCAGCTATTCCTTTAATCTACTTGCAAGGGAGCAAGCAATTCATCCTCATTATCTACCTTTTCCATTATTTATAAATTAGTTATAGTAGTTAGTCATCATAACTCATTTTTTCCGCTTGTTTTTGTGCTTGATATCCGATACTTTAGAAGGACGTAAAGAAACCATTCATGGCAAAGTCCCTTTCGCCTACATAAATAATCTGAACTTTAAAGTATAGAAAAAATGAGCTTAGGTAAACATTGAAATTTCAAATCCAGAAAAAATTTCTTTGAAATAACAAAATTCAAACAAATTATGGCAGAATTATTCGAGACTATCTAGTTGGAAAATAATTCTACAACAGTTTGTTTGCATTTTGATATTCATCTTCATCCTGTCGAAAATCTATTGGTACTTTCAAGCAAAAAGTGACCAAACGAAAAATAACCATCTCATTCACTGATTTGTGCAAGTATGCTTTAGCTATGGTATGGAATTGTTGAAAACTGATAGAGTCTCGTAGACTCTATGCTAAAACGAGAAAAACTGGTTTTTACAATTAAGAGCATGCTACATCACGGGAGAAATTTATTATCTCAAACTCTACGTGAGTAATTTAAAATACAGAAAAAGTGAGCAGAAACAAACCTAGAGTAAACCTTGAAGCTTCAAATACTCAAAAGAAATTTTCACAATATCAAAATGGAGACAAATTGTCAGACGATAATTTAGGATTATCGTTCTCTTCCTACAACTTGTTTTCATTAGGACATTTTAAAAATTTTTTAAATTTAATTTTAAGCATTTGAAGCCATATAGTTAACTATAGTGGCTGGGTGGCGCAATTGGTTTGTCGTCGGCCTTCTGAGCCCAAGTCTGCGGGTTCGATCCCCGGCCCAGACACTAGATTTTCGGGATGCAGAAAATCCTCAGCGATCATGTCGTATGATTATGCGGCATGTAAAATATCCCTGGAGTGCCTTATTTGGCTCTTGGCATTTCCTGGCAAAATTAAATTCCTAGTGCACTTTAGCATCCATATAGAGTCTCGGTGCTGCCATCTAGTGTGGCAGCACCGAGCTGCCATCTAGTGGTCCAAATTAACATGATCAACGGTATCTCACCCATTGTGGTGGTCCTGAAAGAGTGGATACCACCTCTGGAGAACGCATTAGGTCTGCTCATCGGCAAGACCGATTGTGCAGCTCATTGGAAATAAAAAAAAGTTAACTATTGGTTTATCTGAACTTACTTTTCTCTAATTTTAAATTTTAAAATAACAATAGCTGTAAAATAAATTTTTGATAAAATGCTTCTCCCCCGGTATTACATATTTTTCTGTGAGTTAGGAGCGATATAGTCGCTTCCGAATAATGAACATATTAATTTCCATCTTCAATCAATCAATGTTAAATGATGCATATTCCATTACTTACCTACACATATAGGGCAGCATTTACCAAGGGGAATGTATTTTTGAGTTTTGCATTCTATGTCAGGACAAGCTTCTTCCTCGCAAACGGTGTTTCCAAGAAGACATTTACATAATGTACACGGATCGGGATTCCATTCTTCTCCATTCTCATAATACTCTCCATTGTAATCACAAGCTGTGTCGTCATAACCTATGTCATAATTTTAAAAAAAGAAACAAAAATCTTAGTAGTAGAAGTAGCAGTACTTTATTTATGCCGCACTAGAGCTTCACAAAGGGCTATTGGTGACGCTCTGAGAAACATCCCTGAGGATGATCCGAAGACTTTTTGATCTTCTGCACAAGAAATGTCTCCAGTCCGACGATCTGCGCGTCAAGTCGAGTACTTTACGGTAGAATAAATTAACGAAGACCGATACCGCCCACCCTCTGTTCCTATGCTGACTGATAAAAGTGGTCACGCTCTCCCCCGCTCAGTGACCACAGCCAGTGATGTTAGACTTTGGGATTTTGGTAGGAACGGTGTCTTTAAGTTCAGTCCATTGCGTGAGCCATAGATTTTAGTAAAGACTTATAAATTAAAAATGGGATAGGTCTTAAATAATGCATATAGGGTTTAGTCAGATATATGGTAACAGTTCTACTCTATGCAAACTATCTTTCTCTTAGCAAAAAATTTTTGGAAAATTTTATGCGTCAAAATAGTTGGCACAGTTTGAAAGATCAAGATTGAAGCCGTTAGAAATGGTGTCTTTTAACACCATGCAAAATTCGGATCGACCAAAACGAAGAGAGGAAATTACTAACTTATTTTTTGCTGTAATATCGGCAACTTAAGCTTATGGATTTTAATGATTATATGAAAATGCATCTAGAATTATAGTGGTGTCGATAAAAAACGGAAAAGCATTTTACTCTCGTCATTTTGGTCGATTCAAATTTTGCTTTCGTAAAAATAACATACTGTCAGGGTCACGTGATGTAATAACACGCATTTTCTGATGTTGCGAGCTAAAAGCTTGATATTATAGATATGATTTTTCTATTTGTTTTGGTTTTTTAGACAATGGATGAAAAAAGAATAATAAAATGAAGAATTAATTTTTTGTAGAATTTTGCGTTATTTCTTTTGTAAAAGGTTACGACTGACAAATGTGCGGGGAAACCCCAATGGATTTCGAAATAAAAGATTGGTAGTTGTTTGTTCTATGAATTTCAAGTTGTTTGATGGAAGATAGTGAGTTATTTAGATTGTCTTGAAATTGGTTTAGGAAGTGGCATTTTTTTTTGTNAGTATTGTTTTTCTATAAATATTTTTTTAGTTTGATTTGATACACATATAATTTAACAAAATAGTATTTTTTTATTTTCAAATTTAGTGGATAACAATTGTAAAAAATGAGTGAAAACAATCCCACGGACAATGCGACGGATTTAAGGTTATGTGAAGGTTCGTCTCTTGTGAATATCAATTGATTGTTAGGTTTTCTCTTCTGAAATCACATTATGACGCATTCACATACATTATTAATAGATTTTCCAGGGCAAGACGATGAGGCAACCACAAGCACTTCCACTGGTTCAAGAAGTCCACGAGGTCCACGAGGGAAAAATGCACAATATTACCTTGATTACAGAGCACGGAAGCGAGCGGAGCAGGAAAAAGAGTCGTTGAATAGAACTAGTGATCCTTCTACGACTGCTGATTCTTCTACAATTAACGTCGCAGGTTGCGAAGTTTAACTTCTTCCGCGCGGTGGGACTCCACGCACTATTTTTTTACATAAAGACAAGATAAAAATATCAATGCATATTGTTTTCTAATATTTTGATCTACAAGAGTGTAAGTCTTAAATTTAACATTCATTTAGAGTAACCTCAACACGTTAGAGCACAAAAATTAACATTAGGAAAAAAATCATTTCTATTTCAAAAGGGTTAAAAGTGGTAGTATAATGGTTTCATTATTCACATTTAACTTAATTAAACGAAACAGTTGTGTGCTAACTTCATTCATAATATCTTAGGTTTCATTATTTCATTACCTGAGTGTACAAGTTTATAAAAAAACGTATAGGTTTATATAAATGCATATGTACTTGTATACTCCTTTGAAAATAACTCTTAGGACAAAAATGTATGACTTTAATGTATCGCACCATAAACTTAAATGTATTATTTGCCTCCTTTCTACCTCTTCCTACGTAGCAGAGAAGTGAGGACACTTAGAATTCACTAGAATGAATTTTAAAGAAATCGTGGTTAAGAATATGTTATTAAATAGCATAAATATTGAAGAGAAACCGATTGCAAATTTTATTTTATTTTATAACTCTCGTTGAACAGTCGACCCAGTTTTTGGGTTCACGACTTCTAATATTCACCTCCGTAGCCTTGTAATTTTGAACCCAATCCAGAAGACAAAGAAACTCCTGATGGATCAAGCATTACGAGAAATTTGCCCTCATTGAGGACTTTTTTTTATGAAATTAACCCTCATTTGCGTTACATGGAGAAGAAAACCACGAAAATCTCCAAAAGTTAGTCTGACGGGAAGGGGACTCTAACCCATGATCCGTCTACCACTGAGAATATTTTACGTCAGTACTGCGGTCGGTGCAAATTGGATGCAAAATTCGTATCGAGCAGCCGATACTGGGATTCGAACCCAGGTCACCCCATTGGAAGGTGAACGCTCTATCCCCTGAGCCATCACGGCTCAGATTGCAGATTTGAAATTCAGCGATACGCATAAAATCTGTTTAAGATCCTTTTAAAACTCTCATGCAACAAAACAAAAAAAAATTAGTCCATGCGAAGCGCATTGTATTTTTGTATTTTTAATTTCTTCATTTAGAATGAAATGAAAGAAGATAGCAATATAAGATCATCTGGAAGATATCAAAAATTTTCATTGGAGGAAATCTCACGACAAAGCCTTCCTAGTGTCATTTTGACAGCCTTGGAGATAAAAAAGAAAATAAAACGGCAAAGAAACAAACAAAGCTGTAATTACTTCAGAAAGAAGAGTTATAAAATTAAATATTCATTCAGGAAGGGGGAAAAAATCACAGTCAAACATATGGAAAGCATGGATGTTATTACGTTAAATCATAACTTCCAACTTTATAACTTAAATGTTTTTGCATTGGAAGTTTAACAAGGAATAACATCCTGACTCAGCGATTGCGCAACGATTTGTGGTGATATAAAATATATAATACGCCAACTAAATATAAATAAAATGGCGATTAAAGATTTGCCATAGATCGCTAATTTTTTAGCCGAAAATGCACCCAGCGATTTCAACTTCATGCATTACTTATAGGGAACGCTGCAATCATGTCCGGTACGCTCACGTGATTTTACGCTAGTTCCAAATTTCAGGGAGGGTTGATTTTTGTTATAAAACGTTTCATTCTAATTAAAGTTAAATTCATGTTACTATTACTTTATTAAAATAATTTTGTAGGAAAATTTTTTTGCAAATTTAAAAAAAAATCTTTTACGGAGAAATTATAACTTTTAACGCTTTAATTTTTTTTCTGACGTTAAATATCAAGTTTTATCACATAAAAAAAATTGAGTGATATTTTCTTTGTCTGTTTTTTTAATTAAAAAAATTTTAAAGTGCATTATTTGCCCAATTGCACTGGAAAGTGCATTATTAGCCAATATTTTTTATAGCCCAATATCCATTCAATTTTTTTTTGCTCATTATGTTGAATATCATGTTTTTAAAAAATCAAGAGTTTGTTTTCGGTCATAGAAAAAAATAAAAAGCGGTTTTCAGCTATAATACTAACATTAGTGGAGTTAATCACGTCGTTAGTTGACCTCTATTATCAAAAACTGCATTTATTCCAAATGTTAAAAAAGAATCCGAGTGGCTCAGGGGATAGAGCACTTTCCTCCCAATGAGGTGACACGGGTTCAATTTCTAGTGATGGCTGGTCAATACGAATTCCGCACAGGGCTCGCACCTGCCAAAGTGCTGACGTAAAATATGCTCTGTGGAAGACGGATTATGAATTGGAGTCCCCGTGTCGTCAGACTAACCATGGGAGATTTTCGTTGTTTTCCTTTCCATGTAACGTAAATTGGGGTTAAATAAATTAAAAAGGTCTCCTCAAAGGAGAATTTAACCCTATACCTAATGTAGAAGATCCTTTGTCATCTGGATTAGGTTCAAAATTACAAGGCTATGGAGCTCAATTGCTGGTAGTCATAAAAAATGGTTATATATATATATTTTTTTTAAGAAGCGAAATCTTTGAGATCGGAATACCTGTCTATATTGTATGTTGATCACTGAAACAAGTTTAATTTGTCCAGAAGTGTCAATAAATGCTATTAAAAACCCTTCATTTTTTCAAGAAATTTTTCATACTACTATATTATGCAGCGATTTCCAACCTTTTTAGTTGTTCGAACCACCACTTTGAAAGAAAAAAAACTCAGAGGCTTACATTTTATGCAGTATCTTAATTCTAAAATCAACTTTATAGTATTCGCTTAGCTATCAGAACTGTAAAGGAACTCAAAAATAAGTAATCAAAGCTAAAATAAATGAATGGTATTTTTTACTTTATTTGTACCTCACGAACAAATCAATATCTGGATTAAAACTGGACAAATTTAATCTCTAATCACTCGCAACATTTAATTTATTCCTATATTTATTTGTCAAAAAAAAATGGCTCGTTCCTATAATCAATAGCCCAGCACCTTGTTACCCGCGCCCCACTGTTGATGGGTTAAAAACTGTTGATATCATGTACTGAAACTTCACTACTAAGATGAAATGGTATAAATGATAACTTGAATCTCTTTGTAAGTTGACCATTTGAGAAAAATAAAGACCAATATTACAAATAGATTTTTATTTACAGGGTGCAAAAATAAATAAAAATAAAATAAACGGAGCACCGAAAATAACTTTTGATGCAGCAATCGCATCTTCACATTTTAGGATTCACTCTTAATGGTTCAAAGGGGTGACTTCAAACGTGTATAATTAATTAGTGCTGGCGATATTTTAAGTTACGAAATCAGACGCAGAAAATTTTTTTACAACAATTTCGGATTTCTGACCTTCAAAATATAGGGGTTAGCCGCCACCTCTGAAATATAGTCCTATAGTTAGGCCAGGAGAAAGGTCCAAAGTTTGGACTCCTTAATGTTAATTTG